GCCCCCCTCCCTCGCCCCCATTTCATATGCTCCGCCTCAGTAAGTAACCTTGCTGCTGCCTGTCTGGCTCTCTGCTGCCCCCTGCAGGTCGTGTCAAGCAGAAGCCCATGTCAAAATGGGAAACACACTCAGGGCCGGGGCTTAAGGAAAGCAGCCCTGAGAATTATGTTCTGACCAAACATTATGGACACTAAGGTTTGAATTTAATATCACTTATATGATCACAAATATTAACTTTTTAAACCAATTAAAAAATTCTAGGAGCAGCTGGGCGTTGGTGGCACATGCCTTTAGTCCCAGCACTCGGGAGGCAACTCTGTGAGTTCTGAGACCAGCCTGGTCTACAAGAGCGAGTTTCAGGACAGCCTCCAAAACTACAGAGAGACCCTGTCTCGAAAACCCAAAACAATAACGAAAAAATTCTAGGTGCTCTAACGGTGACTCGGTAGCTAAGAGCACGTGTTGCTCTCACAGAAGACCCGGGTTCAGTTCTCAGCACCCACGAGGGGGTTCACAACCTTCCGTAACTTCAGCTCCATAGGATCTGACGGTCTCTTCTGCCCTCTGTGGGCACCAGGCACACCTGTGGTGCACATTCATACATGCAGACAAAACACATATACATATCAAATAAAACCTTTTAAAAAGTTCTTAGCTTGGGGAGTGCCTAGGCCCTGCTCCAAATGATATGACTTTGAAGATTCCTCCATGGAAGGCCTCACCCTCCCTGGGGAGCAGAAAGGGAATGGGACAGGGGGTCGGTAGGGAGGAGGGGAGGAGGGGAGGGAGAGGGAACTGGGATTGACATGTGAAACAAGTTACAATTTAAATAAATTTTTTGAAAAAAAATTCTTAGCTTGCAACGTAAGTTTGTGTCAGGTTCCTGTGTCGTACTGTGGGGAAATGGGAGGCTCCCCAGAGACCCATATCCGCCCTCGTTGTAGATCAGAACCTGCATGGCATGAGAACCCAAATGAGGGTGACCGGGTGACACATCACTCTGAGAGACGCTGCCCCTTGTGTTGCTTTTTTTGTTTTGTTTTGTTTTTTTGTTTTTTCGAGACAGGGTTTCTCTGTGGCTTTGGAGGCTGTCCTGGAACTCACTTTGTAGACCAGGCTGGCCTCGAACTCACAGAGATCCGCCTGCCTCTGCCTCCCAAGTTCTGGGATTAAAGGCGTGCGCCACCAACGCCTGGCTCCTTGTGTGGCTTTTATTCACCCCGTTTACCCCCACTTCCCTTGCTCATCGCTTTTAGTAGTTCAAAAGCCACCAAATCTTCATGCTTTTCTTTGTTGTTGACTCGGTTATAATTCCTGTAGCCTTCTGAAGAAATTTGCACAGAGGTCACTCCCCGGAGCTCAGGGGAGCAGGGAGCAGGAGGACTGCAGAGGTCTGTGTCCTGCCCAGCTCTTGGATGGCCCCAGCTCCTTGCAAGACCATGTGGCTGACCTGGAGAGCAGGCTCATGCATACATGTACGCAGAACAATGTTAACCCGGAGAGTAATGTTCTTACTTTGGTCACATTACTCTCCTCTTTTCTGCAAGTAGGTACTCGTCCCAGAGTGAAAGCCCAGGTCTCATAGCTCCCTCTGAGGACGAGGAGTTCCCTGCATCTGAGACACTTCCCATCAAACCCACTCTGTTCCCACCTTATAGAACAGAGCATGGGGAAACAGGGCCGCTGGTGGCAGATGAAGCCATTACTGTCCTCATCTGGTAGGGCTGCATTCTTATAAGAAGGGAAACTCAAACCCAAGCAGTACCTGCTCAGAGGGAAGATTAGGTGGAGATGGGTATGTAGCAATGGAGGCAGGGCTGGGGTGAAGCTTCTAAAAGCCAGGGGTATGCCAGAGCTGCTGAGACCGCCCTGCCCAGAGGCTTGACGGACATGGGAAGCATGGTCCCCTGGTCTGAGAGTCCCCGCCTCTAAAATATCTACCAGTAACTCTCCGTTACCTGGGGCTATGGAAGTAATAGAGGCTTTGGCATTTTACTGTGCTGTCCTAGGAAGCCAGTCTGGAGACCCTCTGAGTTAGTCACCACCTTCCTCTCCAGGGTCACCCGCTGCCACTACCATCCCAGGTGCTTGGTCAGGGAAGGTCTCTAGACAGACACATCGCATAACCCACACTTTATACTCTCCCTACACCCCTCTCAACTGAAACTGTCTGTACCTCTTGTCCATGTCTTAGTCATGGTTTATTCGCAGCGACATGGTGACTGCCATGTGCTGTTAGCTTTAACTGTCAGCTGGGCACCGTCTAGAGTCACCTGGGAAGAGTTTCAGCTGTGGAGCTGACTAGATCAGGATGGCCTCCGAGCACATCTCTGGGGGCTGTCTGGGTTATTGACTGATTTAGGAAAACCCAGCCCATCAGGGGCAGCGCCATTCGCTAGTTCGGCGCCCAGATCGGATCAGCCTGAAGAAAGCTAGCTAGTCGGAAGATGCAAGCAAGAACGCGTTCATCTCCCTCTGCTGTTGCCTGAGGATGTGATGTGGCCCAGATGCCTGAGTTCCTACCCTGTTTTATCACAGCAACAGAAACGAACCTGGAACAATGAACTGTCTTTGAGAGGCCGGTCTCTCAACAGTGGCTGCTGCACAGACCCTGTGCCTTCCCCATAGGAAGCTGGGTGTATGTTCATATACCTCACTAGACTGAGACATCTCCAAGGGCATGAGCCTCACTATCTTTTTATCTCAAGTATCCAGGAGAAGGCATTCCACGCACGGGGTGGTGGATATGGAGATAACACCGGAAGAAACCAAAACTCGCTAAGCAGTAGCATGAAGGCTCACTAAGTCTCCCTGACCAACAACTCAAAAGCAGAAATCCCAAAGTCATAAATATGGGGAAGGAGTGTGTGGGCCCAGGGTATTGACAGAGTTGCGAAGGAAGTGGGAAAGGTCTTGGGGAGAGTAATCACAATGCATTTTATACAACTGTGAAATTGCAAAAGAACAAACCAAATTGATTTTTTTAATGGAAAAGAAAATCAAGAAATCTGCTTTGGGAAGATTACTACCTACAAACACTGGGAAAAAGTGGGAAGTTTAAAGGTCAGGGCCTTACTTTACTGATCATGAAATCTGACTTGATCATCTCTGCTCTACCCAGGCTTGGTTGGACCAGTCTAAAATTCAGGGACCTGACAAGGCCCCAGCCTGCTGGGAGCACCACTTCTAGATTACACTGTTCTCTCTGCAGTGCCGTGTCTGTGGGCCTTCCTCTTAAGGAGAATATCAAGGAAAAAACAATCAAAACCAGGACCCCATCTTTTCTTTAATATAAGAAAGAGGACTGGAAAGATGGCTCAGTGGTTAAGAGCACTGACTGTTCTTCCAGAGGGCCTGGGTTCAATTCCCAGCACCCACATGGCAGCTCACAACTGTCTGTAACTCCAAGATCTGACACCCTCACACAGATAGACACGAAGGCAAAACATTGATGCAAATAAATATTAAATTTAAAAAAGAAACAGAGCATTTTGTTTCTGGAAGATTTCTGGATTTCGCTAAAGACACTAACTAGCAGGGGTGTGAACTCATATGAGCTGAAAGCAAGCCATACAGAACCCATCCCTGCAGAGTCTGATTAATGGGGTTGGTGGTGCTCACTGGGTGAACAGTGAAGAGGACACAGGCACGGTCTTGAGCAGAGCTGCACACATACTTAATGAAACCTATCTCTTTGCGGTGTTTATTTGTTTAGTGTGTGTGTGAGACAAAATTTGGGAGTTAATCCTCTCTGTGTGGACCCTGGAGACCAAACACGGATCATCAGAGTTGGCTGCCCAACTAACCTCTTGTCCTTTCTGTACAGGGAATGGAACCTGGGGCCTTTTGCTTTCCCAGCTGAGGGGTGTAGAGGGCCAGCCTCACTACGTCATTTTATTTCCAGTTTTAACAATAGAGGGCGTCTGAGTAGATTGTTTACATGTAACATTTACCCTCTTTTAACTTGAAAAGAGTTTAAAAACTACACTGCTTACTGATTTGTGTGTGTGTGTGTGTGTGTGTGTGTGTGTGTGCGCGCGCTCAAATGCATTTGAGACAGGATTTCACTGCATATAATCAGCCTCAGCCTCAAGTGCTGGGGACCACAGATGTGCAAACTGTCTGACTTTCATCTGTCTTACACACACACACACACACACACACACACACACACACACACACACACTAGTCAAAGCGTCAGGTAGTCCAGACTGGCCTCAAACTCACTCTGTATCTGAAGACAACCTTGATGCCGAGTGCTGGGGTCACAAGCAGACACGACTGTGCCTCATTTTATATGGTGCAGAGAAGCAAACGCAGCTCTTTGTGCACATCAAGCAGATGTTCTACAAACGATGACCATTAAGGCACCAGCATCGACGTGCACTTCCAGCAAAGAGCCAGAAGGCGGCGCCAAGAGCAAAGGTGATTCCCAGTTTCAGGCGAGGTAAGAAAATGTCCATCCTATTAACACAGCCACTTTACCGGCAGCTCTCGAGCTCACAGTACTCATAAAGAATGCCCTGGCGACCTGCCTAGCATAACCCTGTTCAAGTCCCACCCGCAACACCTAACGCGTCCCCAATGCCTCATTGAATTGTGACTTTAGTGTGTAAAACCAGGAGCCACAAACTCCAAACACTTTCAGCTGATCGTGAAGCCAGAGACCCTGAAATTACATTAAAATCCTTGTGCATACACCACCAAACCCTGCAGACAGCAGACCTAGAGGGAACAATGTTAAGACAGCCAGGGAAGAGTCCTAAAGACACTTCATGAAGCTCTGGCCGCCCACACAACGGTTCCAATGAGAACAGATAAACCTCTCAAGATCGCAATGGCAGAGGCTAGGGACATGGCTCAGCGGTTAAGATACTTGCTGCTCTTGCAGAGGACGTGGGTTCAGATCCCAGCACCCACCTCAGTCCCAGGGGATCCAACACGTATATACATACCTCAGGCACACACATAAAATAAAAATTAAAAAAAATAACTTTTATAAGGGGAGAGCACGAACACAGTCTCCCACTACCATAAATTATCTAGTCGAATTTCCCGAATTTGGAGAAATCACAGGGGGGCAGCACATCCGGAATGCAATGGATAAGCGTGTCCCTGGGAAAACCACCTTTGTGACCATGGTATCTCACCTGCCAGGTAAGTATAATAAGTTGTTTTTTTATAAAAAACCATAAAACTGGGGGCTGGAGAGATGGCTTAGAGGTTAAGAGCACTGAATGCTTTTCCAGAGGTCCTGAGTTCAGTTCCCAGCAACCACATGGTGGCTCACAACCATCTATAATGAGACCTGGTGCCCTCTTCTGGCATGCAGGCAGAACAGTGTATATATAATAAATAAATCTTTAAAAAAAACCATAAAACTAATTTAAAAGGCTTAGAAAATGCAGTATATCATAAAAAATAAATAATTTACCCTGCTTTTGTGCAGAACAAGAAACTGGGGCTTGCTCCCGCTTATTCTTTATTATGTTCTTGGTCTACAGGCGTAGCATATGCACAGGCGCGGGGGTGCAGTTGTGTACACCGTCGGCTCCGTGACTCTCCACCTTGTTTTCTTTTTCTTTTCTTTTTTCTTTTTTTTTTTTTTTTGAGACAGGGTTTCTCTGTATTGTTTTGGAGATTGTCCTGGACTGGCTCTGTAGACCAGATTGGCCTCAAACTCACAGAGATCCACCTGCCTCTGCCTCCTGAGTGCTGGGATTAAAGGTGTGCGCCACCACCTCGAGTCAAGTTCTCTCTCACAACCCGGAGTAGATTGGTAGCCAGGGAGCCTTAGTGAATCTCCACCATGGTCCTGGGTCTATCAGCACATACAGTCACACTGGCTTGGGGTTACTGGTACACATACAGTCACACTGGCTTTTTACATGGGTTCTGGAGAATTTGAACCCAGAACTTCATGATTGAGCAGCAAACTGTCTTCCCCCTGAGCCACCCTGCCAGCCCTCTTAAGTCTTTTTAAAAGTTGGGAGACTGGCAGAGCAAATGTTCCCACAGTGGATTTCTATTATTCTTTACTGGTTATGACTTCCGTCTAGTCTACTTTCATGGTATTCTGGTAATATTTATCGTAAACGGCACATATCTAGTAGGACCATTAAGGGAGGACTAAGTAAAACACATATAAATGAAACTGGTGCCTGAGGACGTGGTGATCCCTGGAATTTCAGCTCAACATTAAACTTGGCTTGGTTTGCAGTGCTAAAAAGAAAACTCCCCAAACCTCAGCCTGAGGTGGGCACTTGTGGGCCTAACACTGCCTCCATCGCCAAACAGCCCTGCCCTTCCTACCCACGTGGTTGAACAAATGGTGGGGCATTCTGAGGATGGGTGAGGTGAGGTCATCAGAGACCACATGCTCCATGATGTTTAAGTGTCTGGAAAACGTCCTTTACAAAGTACTGCATGGAGAAACAGCAGGATAAAATTAAAGATCATATTGCTCCCAATTATACAACTGTCACATGAAGTTGTCATCATTTTTATAGCTATGTCTTTTACGATTCAACAAAACAGTTAAAAAATTTTTAGTACATTTTAATACAGTGGGGGAGGGTGTCAGGACAACTTGTGGGAGTTGGGTCTCTTCTACCATGTGGGACTGAACTCAGGTTGTCCGGCTTGCCGGTGCTCTTAACCTCTGAGCCATCTCTCCAGTTCCTAAACAGTATAAAGATGTGAATATCCGCACATGAGCACACATGGGGGGGCAGGCAGAAATAATGCCAGAGAGCATTAGCGGCCTATCCCTGGGTGGAGCTGCTGGGCTTTTAACACGGAACACGTCCACACTCCCTCCCCCTGTTCTTCCTCCTCCCGTCTCCCCCTGCTTAACTCTCATTTTCTTTTGATGTGAGATAGAACCCAGGCCCACACACAGGCCAGGCCAGTGCTCTCTGAAGCCTTGGCTCCAGCCGGCCTCGCTTACGGTCAAAACAAAAGCACAAATGGAATTCAATACGATGCTTCTGAGAGGGCCAGGGCATGGGAGAAGGCAGCTGGCCCACCCTGCCAAGCACACCAAATGAAATGCCCTTCCTAGACGGTGTGCTGGCAAAGCAGGAAGCATAACCGTTGCGAGTGTCCCTGCATCCAACCAGCCACCCTCCTTCTGAGGAATCTGCCAAGACCCGGCACAGGATGTTCACCGCAGTGACCTGCCGAATGAAAAATCAAACAAAACGGTGTAGGGCCTGCCAGTAGGGGAAAGGTGGAACAAATTGTAGTCACTCTGTTGATGCAGAAAGTCATTGTGTGTTTCATACGATGTCTGTGGTGGTTTGAAGGAGAAATGTCCCTCACAGGCTCATGTATTTGAATACCTGCCCCTCCCCCCCTTGGTGATGCAGTTTGGGGAGACTATGGAGCCTTAAGGAGGTGGGGCCTTACTGGAGGAAGGGGGTGGGCATTGAGGGTTTATAGTATGGTCCCACTTCCTGTTTGCACTCTCTCTCTCTCTCTGCTTCCTGTGTGTGGATGCAATGTGATAAGTCAGCATACTGCTCCTGTCGCCAACCATGCCATGCCGGATGGACTCTATCCACCCGGAACCATGCTCCAAAATAAACTTCTTTTTTTCTTTCTTTTTCCCTCCGAGACAGGGTTTCTCTGTGTAGCCCTGGCTGTCCTGGAACTCACTCTGTAGACCAGGCTGGCCTTGAACTCGCAGAGATCCGCCCGCCTCTGCTTCCCGAGCGCTGGGATTAAAGGCGTGCGCCACCGCCGCCGCGTGGCCAAACCCCTTTGTCTTAAGTTGCCTTTGCCACACACGAAAGATAATAAAGTTAACACAAGTTAAATGAGTACATTCGAAAGATCGGTGGCGGCAGCTGTGTCAGCGGTGGAGTGCTGGGCTCACATGAATGACACCCAAGTGCTGGGGGGTGGGACGACATTTTGTTACTTTTCTCTTGCTGTGATAAAACACTCACACCAACCAAAGCAAAGGCAAAGCAAAGATCCCCAACAGGCCGAAGCCAGCAGAGCCTACTTGACTGAGTCTCATCCCGCAGGCCTTATAACCCCTTTACAAGAGGGAACCCTGAGCATGGCTGTTAACCCTCACCAATGAGTAAGCCGAAGTCACCTGGCGTTAGGCACTGAGCTTGTCTCCACATTGCAAACCCCACTGTCTGCCACTGCTTAGGGGTGACTGCTTAAGGTGCGCTAGTAAAAGCCAGTCAGGCCCGTCACTCAAAACACTGTCATTTCATGCTCTGACAATCCCAAGACCGCGAGGTTTTCTTTCTGCTTTTTTTTTTCCCTTTCAACCAAAACAAACAAAAATCTCAGTGCCAAATATTTGAAAACTAGAGACGCTCGTTTTACGGGAGTTAAGGTTTTAAGAGCATTTACCTTCGGTTGGGAATTTCCTGGCGCGCTCCTCGAAGAACCATTCTCCTGTTTTGATTTTCACAACTCTGAAAAGCAAGCAGAATTATCTTGTTGAGAGCAGGCCTCACTCTCCAGCTCGAGCTGACCTAGAACTAGTGCACTATGCAGCCCACCCTCAAACTCATAGCTCCTCTCCTGCCTCAGCTTCTCAAGCACTGGGATTACAGGTGTGAGCCATTGTAACACGTCTAAAAATTTTTTTTTTTTGGTTTTTCGAGACAGGGTTTCTCTGTGGCTTTGGAAGTTGTCCTGGAAGTTGCTTTGTAGACCAGGCTGGTCTCAAACTCACAGAGATCCGCCTGCCTCTGCCTCCCGAGTGCTGGGATTAAAGGCGTGCGCCACCAACGCTCGGCTAATATTAATTTTTTTAAACAATAGTGTTATTTTTGTGTGGGTGTTTTGCCTGAGTTATGTCTGTGCACCAAGTGCATTCCTGGTGACTTTGGAGGCCAGAAGGAAATGCCAGACCTCTTGGGACTGGAGTTACAGGTAATTGCTAGACACCCGGCCTGCCCCTGACCGCTCTCTATGTGGCCCATGGACATCCAACCTTTTGGCTTCTCTTGGTCCACACATTCCAAACCTAGGCCAGCTTTGAATGTGGCTCCAACACAAAACTGTAAAGTTATTAAAAATCATTGAGGTTGTGTGTGTGTGTGTGTGTGTATGTGTGTGTGTGTGCACTTTTCTCTTATAACTTGTCAACGCTATAAAACACAGTCCTCGTTTGCTGTCTCTGCTGTGATAAAACACTGACCCGAAGCAGCCTGGAGGAAGAAAGGTTTGTTCGGCGTCCGGCCCATCGCCAAGGGAAAGCCAGGGCAATAACTCAAGCAGGAACTGACACAGAGGCCTCGGGAAAACGATGCTGACTGACTGGCTTGCTCTCTCTCGGTTTGCTCAGGCTGTTTTCTTAGACAAAGCAGGGTCACCTGCCCAGGGATGGCACCGCCCACCACAGGCTTGGCCCGCCCATATCAATCACCAATCAAGAAAATGCCCCACAGACCTGCCCACAGGTAAATCCAATGGATGCAATTATTCAAGTAATGTTTCTTCTTCCAAGGTGATTTTCAGTTTGTGTCTGGATGACAAAACTAACCTTGTAGAGGACAAGGTTGTGTCCAGATGTCACTTAAAGTAAACATACTCTTGCACCTGAGGGCCAGGAGTTGAACACTCAGGGAAGGCAGCCCCTCATTGCCTGAGGGAGGCTGGAATTATAAACATCTGACACCTGGCACTCATTCTGCTTCTAGAAAGTACCAGTTTCCATCTTTATGGTCCTCAACCCTGCTAATGCCAAATTAGCAAACGAGAAATAGCCAGTGAACGTGCTTTGCAAATTCCAGTACGGATATTTGCTAATGATGAGGCTGGAGGAGCCTAGCAAAAAAACTGTTTTGACCTCACTGCTAGAAGCAAGCAGCAAATTAAAGAGGTGAGGGGGGGAGGGGCACATCTTTGATTTGCATCAAACTGCTGCATCTGCAGATGGGGACTCGGTGACATTAGTGCTTTATGCGCTGAGAAAGTGGACATGATGTCCCCAGAAGCTGAAGGTATTTTCCCCAATCAACCCATAAAGGGTGAAAGATGGGCGGGTCCGTGTCTTCACAGTCCTTTGGATGCCTGAAGCCGTGCATTCCTGCAGGTCTGCTCTCTGGCTAAGGCCCCTATGGCAAAGAAGCCTGAAGAGCACCTCCCAAAAATACCCTGGTGGCTTGCCAGATGCTCAGGATGCCAACAC